CGTACGGAAAAACTGTAAAAACTGTAAAATATCTAACCAGACATTTCATGTAATTGTACAGTAAAATGCTGTTAATTTTAGAAGTAAAATTTTTTTAATAGTTTTTGTTATTAGTTATGTATATTTGGGCTTTATGTTACATCTTCTGTTGTTTAATAAAAGTTTAATGCATTATTTAAGTATCATGTGTGTTACCATGATGGTGTTTTGTGTTTGCATGAATGACTCTGTGCACCTTCTATATATTAGTATATACTTCTGCTTGTGGCGAAGCTACTTGTGATGAGCTTTGATTCTTCATGTGGCTTTCTCTTTTACCACCTGCATTATTATGGTGGTTGTCAGTATGTTAAAGGTACAAAACAGATTTTAATAGCAGTGTGCATTGTTGAATTTACTGGTTTACATTCAAATTTTCTTGTTTGTAAATTACAGTTTTATACTGTAAAATTTGCAGTTTTTGGCCGTAAATGTGTTTACAGTTTTTCTGTATTTTTTACAAAATTATTCTGGCAACCACAGCTGCCAAAATTATTTTGTAAAAACTACAGAATTTTTTCTACAGTGTATGCCTTGAATGCTAAACACAGGACCTTATAAGGCTGTTGTGTGGATCATGATTCATGCAGAAAGTGGCGTAAACGGGCGATGTGTAACGGATTGAGTTTGACTGGAGGATATACAGGAGGCTGTTCTTTAACAACATCATGCTGCTACACAATGAATTCTTAAAGAGTTCCTGCAGCTACAGGGTGTGACATAATATAAAGTCATATCATAGATCCGTGATCTATGAAGGGGCAGATGGGAAAAGACAGACAGGGAGGTCTAGTCTTTAATTAGAATATCCAGCACTTGGGAGGAACGGAAAGATGAGTGAGCCGAGAAAGAAATGGAGAAAAGAGTAAAAGGGAGCAACAGAAAATGAGATGAAAGGCAATGTAGGGAGATAGAGAATGAATGAGGTGTCATATCAGTGAACTGTGATACTCTATATCACATTCTCCCTCTGACAACGCAATGAATGGCATACAGCAAATAATCCTGTGGTGTGAGCGAGGCATTTAATGTGGCTGTGCAGAGCAGTAAATGTGTTGATGGGTCATGCCTGTTATGCAGGACCTTTTGACCTCTGTAACATTTAAAAATGTGAATATGCTGATGTTTTATTGGACAAATATTAGTATGAAAAAAGTATGCCAGACGTTCAGAAATATGCTCTGGTAAAGCTTTAACTAATGTTCAAATTTTAACATCACTATTTACACAATGGGAAGAAAACAAAGAGGATGGAAACTAGGATGGATGGAAATAATAAAAAGCTCAAATTCACCAGTGAGAGCTAGGTATAATTTATGATGATTAATTTGGCCAAACAGGACGGAATGCCCTGTGTTGTAAACTCCTTTGTTCACTATTGTAATATTTTGATAAAAGAAAATTATGATTTCCATTTTTTTTTTTATTTAATATGAGAAAATGAGACTACTATTTTATGCAGTATAATAAGATGGAGATGTGGAAATGTACTGGTAAAACAAAACCCAGGTAAAAATGAATTTGAATCTGTTCTTCTCATTAGTGTATTAATGTGGACATATAAATATACTACAAAAGTCTGGTGTTGGTAAAACTTTTTTAATGTTTTTGAAATAAGCATCTTTTGGCTGCATTTATTTGATTAAGAATACAGTAAAACAGTAATACTGTGAAATATTATTACAGTTTAAAATAATTGTTTTCTATTTGAGTATTTTTTTAATTTAATTTTAACATTTAAAACATACTCTTGTGATGGCAAAGCTGAATTTTCAGCACCCATTATTTTGTAACAATGTAAAAGTACTGTCACTTTTGATCAGTTGAATGCATCCTTGCTGAATAAAAGCATTCATTTAATGAAAAAGTATATTAATTTTGAACGGTAGTGTATATGTACAGTATAGACAGTGATGCTTGTGTTTGTGTTGTTCCAGGTTTTTTCCTTACTTGCAAATAGAGTCGATCTCCTGTGTATCCTCGTCTTTTTGGGAACTGATAGACAGACTGTCTCCTAGGGCAAGCAGACACTGTGCAAACCCTTTATAGATGGAGCTGCACTTCTTTGTGGCTGCAGCAGAACATGGACTGGGGACAAGCACTAGAACAAACATAGACACACAATTAACAAAATCCATGTACATTTAAAAATAAATTCAGAAATGTTGAATGTCTGAACAGAATGCAGAACAATGACCTTCAAGATGTACCTTGAGGTGTAAGATTAAGGGGATAGTTCTTCCAAAAATGAAAATTCTGTCATCATTTACTCACCCTCATGTCATTCCAAACCTGTATGAATGTTTTTCCTCTGTTAAACATAAAAGAAGATATTCTGAAGAATTTTGCCAAACAATTGACAGTAGCTACTGACTTCAGTAGTGCTTTTATTCCATACTATGGAAATGGGAACCATCATATTACATTCTTCAAAATATCTTCTTTTAATAATAATAATAATAATGCATTTTATTTATTATGCGCTTTTCTTAACCCAAAGCGCTACAACTGCAAACATAGGTAACAACAACAAGCATGGGTTTCTCAACCCATAGCACAACCACAAGCATAATAAAATAACAGCGATAAACACACAATAAAACAGTATAAACATACTCAGTTACAGTAAGCAACTTTAAAAAGATAAGTCTTTAAAAATGTCTTAAAGCAATTCAAAGTTGGAGAATCTCTAATTCTGGCTGGTAGAGCATTCCATAGTCGTGGAGCTGAGACAGAGAAAGCTCTACGACCCATAGTTTTTAATTTATATGCTTTTGTGCTTAACTTGAAGGCGAGCAAATTATGAATTTTAATCATTGGGTGAACTATCCCTTTAAATAAGCATTTTTCTCATTTCAGTTTGCCAAGCTTTCAAGCCTGTTATGTTTTTTTTTTTTCAAAAGCTCAAATACAAATGAGATTTGTTCTTTAAAAAAAAATACACTCATTGTCCAAAACATAGGCAAGGTCATAAACAGACCAGCAGGATGACATTGAAAACACTCACAGCAGTACACAAAAGCCTTCAGTGCCACCACTGCTGGATTTGTGGGGTTCTTGGTTATTTATAAATTGTTTATAAAGAGTATAGTTCTATGGTTCATTGTTAGAACAGAACACAGGGTAATAATAATCTCTAACCTTGAGGATATGGGAGAAAAATTCAATAGAAATGCTCTGAGCTTTCATGTGTTAGGAGCTCCAGACGCTTGCTTATCAACACTTTTTTAAGCTACCAAAGTTTGCTTCTCTCCAGCTAACAGGGAATATTTGGCTAACGTTCTCTCAAAGTTATGAAAAAACATTCTTCCAGTAATGTTCATAGAACATCTGTTCAAAGTAATCTGTCCTTTAATAATGTTCTCAAAATATTAGCACACGTGTATATCATTCATGGAATTGTTTATTTCTGAAACCTTTTAGTTCGACATTTATCTAATATTTCTTTTTTAAAATGTTACTACTTTTTATTTTCCCATAATTAAGTAACGTTCCAATAATGCATAATCTTTGCAAAATGATAGAATGGAATGGTCCCTTAACATTTGCATAACCAATAATGTTTTTTTTTTTTAAATATGGATGTTTTTCACATTCAGAAAAAATGTTTTCATAACTAGATGGAACATTAGCAAAATGTTTTTAGAAGATATTTTCGTTTGATGGGTCTGTGCATGTGCCAGTGTCCTCCAAACCTCCACTGCTCCTTGTTGTCTCTCAATCTCTATAACCTCTACCTATCGACAATAAAACCACAGATGGAAGTAATGCTCAACCTAAGTGAGATATGCAGGAGGATCTTAATTGGGTCAGACAGCAAATCACCAGCACTCTCCTAATTCCCTTAAGGAAATGAATGATTAATATTTTATACATCAAGCACAATCAAACCTCTACAAATGATTCAGAATGCAGCGGTACGACTGGTCTTCAACGAGCCCAAAAGAGCCCATGTTACACCTCTCTTTATCTCCTTGCACTGGCTACCGGTCGCGGCTCGAATCAAGTTCAAGACATTGATGCTTGCATATAGAACAGCCACAGGCTCAGCACCCGCCTACTTCCACTCACTACTACGAATCTACATCCCCTCCAGAAGTCTGAGATCCGCTAGTGAGCGACGCCTCGTGGTACCATCACAGAGAAGCTCAAAATCACTTTCCAGAACATTCTCGTTCACCATTCCTGGCTGGTGGAACGATCTTCCCACCCCTATCCGGAATGCTGAATCCCTGACAACTTACAAGTGACAGCTGAAAACTCATCTCTTTCGAAGCTACTTGACTTCATCATCATCATTATAAAAAAAATAAATAAAAAATTCTCTCGTATTTCGTAAATGGAAATAGCCGAAGAAATCAGAAAGACTGAAGTGCTTTGATGATGCCAAGGGGAAATTTAGACAACCGTCACTCAATACAAGACTCAACAGAACTATCAATACTAAAATCATAAGGGATAATATAAAGTAAGCTGGCCACTATTACAAAATGTAAAAATAAAAAAGAAGTTTATCTTGCTTACATGGTTACACACCAAATAAATATGTGGACATGATGTATTGATTTGAGTTTAAATGATATTTTATTCATATTTGTAATTCCTGTATATTATATGAAAGCTTTATTCTTTCTAATTAATAGTTAACAGCAATACAACATTCATAAGTCTAATGAACACAGGTAAAAGTTTGAATAAAAGGTACGTAATTTAACAACAAAAATAAATAATAAAAACAATAAGAAGAACAATGATTTTGTTATTATTCAATCATTTATTATTATTATTATTATTTAATTGTTGTTGTTGTTGTTTATTATACAGAAACTAAAAATACTTCTAGCTTCAAATAGTACCTCAAAGTGCTCATTAAATTTATCGTATTGACTACGATCATATTGATTATTTTAAATAGAAAAATTATTGCCACTATTTAAAAATAAATATTGATATAATAATAATGTGTAAAAAAAAAAAAAAAAAAAAAATTATTATAAATAAATAAACAGTACATTACAAAAATCGGCCTAGCAAAAAGACGAACAAAATAACAAAAAACAAAACATAAAATATTTTTTTAAATTTATTTGGATGAACTTTATTATTTACAATTCCATTTGTTAACATTAGTTAATTAATTCTAAAGCATTTTTTTATCTTATAATGTTGATTTCAACATTCATTACGTTATTAAAATCAAAGGTTTTATGTTAATATTATTATGGACATGAGCTAACATGAAAAACATGAAAAAAACATGAAAAAACGTGTATCTTGCTTACATGTTACTCACCAAATTGATGTACTGATTTTAGTTCAAATTATTTAATTTATATTTTATTTTGCTTGTTCCTGTATAAAAGCTTCCACAAAAAATAAATTAAGCTAATTAAACTAACTAAATAAAAATAGTCCATTACAAAAACCGGCCTAGCAACAAAAATAAATAAATCATGAATTAATGAATTACAAAAATCAGCCTAGCAAAAAGATAAACAAAATAACATAAAACATAAAATAATTTAAATTTATTTGCATAAACTTTACAATTTACAATTGTATTTGTTAACAAATAATTAATTAGCTGAGCATGAACTAACAATGAAAAATTATTCTAAAGCATCTTAATTAATGATGATTTCAACATTTATACATTCAAAAGTTTTATGTTAATATTATAGTGGACATGAGCTAACATGAACTAACAATAAACAGCTGTATTTTTATTAACTAACAATAACAAAGAGTAATAAATAATTACTGTAACAAATGTATTGCTCTTTGTTAATGCTAGTTAATGAATGAACTAACCTTAACTAATGGGAAAGTGTTACAGATGAACCATTCCAGAAACATTTACATGCAGTACAGACCCCATACAAACAACCAAACCGAGCAGCCTGGGAGGAAAATGAAATCATCTAAGAAGTGGATACGTCCAAAAAGTCTCATCGGATTAAAACGGAGACAAGAATTTACTGTGTCCAATTACATATCTCTGAATTTGTATCTCTGGCCGATGCTCAAGCGGGTTGAAGAGTAGTCTGTACCACTGCCTGCATTAGTAATGTTATTACTGATGTTGTGTAATCCAAGAGTGCTGTCCACCCACACACAGCGTGATCTGGCCTGGCCCATTCAGCTCAGCGAGCCATTATGACGCAGGCGGCAGACACAGGGCTTATTTGAACCACAACATTAATTTTTAATCTGTGGTGCCAGAGATCCACGGGGAGTCCATAGGGTTCTTAAATAAATAAATGATATAAAACAGGGCACTTGCATGAGAGGGGACTGCAGAGAGTGAATGAGAAAGAAAAGAGAAACTGGGAAAGATGGAAAAAAAAAAGGAATGAAATAGAAGAAATTAAACACAAATAGGCAGCGTTTGAATTGGGTGTATCAATTTCAAATTAAATATGCTAGTAATCATATGAAATAATAAAATGTGAAAAAAAAATTATATTTATGTACATTTGATTTTATACAAATATTTAAATTCATATAAAATTTATATGCCAGAATAAATTAATAATATTCATTGTGTAATACGTTTTTGGTCTCTTTAAAGCGGCAAAATTAATATAACATACTCTGTTCTCCAAGAGAGAATGAGATTAACACTGCAATACAGTTCATGCAATATGAATAGTTCACTCTAGTTGTAGAAATCACAATAGATTACAATTCAGGTACTATTACACAATACATAATCAAGCACTGTAACGTCATCCTTTTAAGGAACATGTTATGAAACCTTGAAACAAAAACGTCATAATAAATAATGTGGAGCTCTAAGAGCAAAACAGCTGCATAATTTCCTGTCCCTAGCGTGACTCAGACACAAGTTATAAAAACAGTCTATATCTAAAAAAAAAAAAAAACTATCTATCTATCTATCTATCTACTAAGTATTGACTTCAAACTTTAAGACTTAAAGATGCTGAAATCAGATGACCTCTGGAGCATAAGATGGGCAAGTGATGATGGAGGTTTAGGCCACATATCTTCTATTCATGAGGTTGAATATGCAAGCTTTAGCCAGACCAGTGCTGAGCAAGCACATTTGCTGCTGAGGTTTGCTACATGTGCCTCTCGCCG